TATATATATATATATATATATATGGCGTCAAAGGGCTTGAAGGGTGGAATGATATACGGGGGATGGGTTGGAATGGATGGTTGGAATGGTATGAGAAGGGAGTTGTGATTTTGACCTGACGAGTAGCACATTGGGCACGGCATTTGCGCTGGCCGCGGCCGAAACTGGCGCCGCGTCCACGTACGACGGCTTTGAGACGACCGTCATGGAGCTGCACATGGACGACATCAACGTGTTTGTTGAGCAGCTGCACAACGTCATGGACGCCTAAGTTAGGCATAAAACACCTAAATAGACGAGTTTAAGGTACTTCTTTCACCAAGGCAAGGACTAACTACATACTGATCACATCAAGCACGAGTTTGAAACCATCACCACTGGGTACTGACAAACGACTAGAAAAACAAACTGAAATAATCCAACCTCACCATAACGTTAGGCCAAGTGAATATATATATATATACATATGTGTATGATATATTGTCCTTTCAGCCAAGTTTGGACGTGTGTGCTGGTTTGCCTAAAGTCCATCGAACACTGAATTTTTTGTTCACGTTAATAAATATATGTTTGGTAAAGGCGTCATCCTTCACACTATTTGAAGTCACAGACTAGTTCGACGAATGCAGGGATTTAATTGGCCACCTGATTCGTGTTCTAGGTTTTGATTGGTCGATCGATTGTCTGCCGATTTGGTGTTGTCCATTCTTATGTATATATATATATATATATATAGAGTCCAATTCTGCTTGAAAAACGATACACACCCACGACGCAGTGAACGATACTAGTTTGAATACCCTCGAGTATATTATATACCACCGTCAGTATATATACACCACTTATCATATATTATTTTCGTATATTCAACTTGTACATATTATATATGTGTTTGATTCCATGGTAGCTCGTCCACGCGGTCGTGTGTGCTTCTCGAGCGCGGGATGGCCATGGCCATGCAGCTGCAGCAGGCCGTGGTGACTCTGGGCGTGTCCATATTAGACAGAAAGCTGATCGTGCGTGTCAAGCACTTCCGGTTCGTGTGTCTTCGCCTGTCTGAAGAAGAGGAGCACCTGTGCGGACATCCGTCGACGCTCTCGCGCCTCGCGCTCTTCCTTGTCGACGTCCACCGAGAGCAGGGCAAATGGATCGGCAAACACGCGGCGCCCTTCGTCCTCATCGCTCACATCAAGGCGCGCAACGTGTACCTGGTTGTGGGGGTCACGTGCCCCGAACGTGCCGGCGACATTCATCGCAAGTACGTACATGTGGATATATATTTGTTGGTGGAGACGCGAACTATTGGATGATGTTTCAAAGTGGGGTCCCTATGTATGTGTGTGTTTTACTCAACCTTTTCTCTGGAGGTTGGTTGTAATGAACCGCCCAATAATATTCGGACCTGCGAAATATGATATATATCGAAGTAGAAGTCGTATACGTGTGTGACGTCTACATTCATGTTCGTTTTAGCCAATCAGAATGCTACCTTCATTTTTTTATCCAATCATACGGCTTTGCTTGATGTGTTGGCAATTTCAACGATCATGTGGCTTGTTTGGGTGAAAGGCACAATATATATTTACATATTGTCGATTTGATACAAATTTGGGGACGGGGTGCAATCGAATCGCGCCGACCAAACCGATCCACAATCGATCTGATTGGTTGAATTTCATTAAGAAGGTTTAGATTGGCTGATAATTTTGAGCTCATCTGAGGTAGCCAATCAAATCGATTTCAATTCCAACGAAAAACCACAACACAATGAAATTTCACTCGAAAGCACAATATATATATCTATATATATATATATATATATAGAGTCCAATTCTGCTTGAAAAACGATACACACCCACGACGCAGTGAACGATACTAGTTTGAATACCCTCGAG